AGATTTAGAAAATTGTTTTAAAAAATATGGAAAAAAGAAATAAACTAGGGAAAAACTATATTTATAAAAATAATTATTATCTATATTACATTTTGAAATTATGTTACAGAATTATTATAATTTTTAAGCACTCTTTCCAGGTCATTGTCTTGTTTGTTTTTATTTCTTTTCTTTTTTTAAACTAATTTTCTTGTTTTTAATTTTCTCTTTTTAGAAACAAAGCCAGTTTGCTAAGGGTTAAACAAACTTTATATAACATGTCAATTTGTGAGCTTAGCTTTTGTTACCTTTGAACCAAAGCGTGCTATTTCCCCCTGTTTATAGTCATTGTGCTACGCTAAGCTAACAGAATTCTGACTGTAGCTTCATATTTACAGCAAAGACATTAGAGCTGTATCAATCTTTGTGTCTAAACTGTAATTTCATGGTGATGTTGTTTTGCACAAGAAAGCAAATAAGCATATTTTCCAAAAAAGTCAAACTACTCCTTTAATTAAAGTTTTACCCTCATGAAAAAAACACTTCCTGGTTTTAAAGCTGTGTCTTCACTGTATGTCAAACCTGATGGTGTCAATCAGCACTGCTGCATTTCCACAACAAACACAGGTGACCCACCTGGCTCAGATGAGACAGTGAGACGACAGTGAGTATGTTTTGTATGCCAGATTGGACGAAGTGTTTCCCTCCGGTTTGTCATCTGAGGTTTGCCAAGCCACCCTGTGTGCATGTGTGATCAGCACTGGACTCTGTGCCCCAATTCCTCATAGGTTTTATTCTCAGTGTGTGCAAAGTTCACACTAACTGGCCTCTAAGTGTTTTATAACAGTCTTGCTTATTCTCTGGCTTGACCCCATTTCTTTCTTGCTCTTTGTAAATGCTTTGATATGTTGCTCAGTTTTCCCACGAGAATGGCCGACCTTGTAAGTGAGTGTTTTGAGACACTGTGCTGTTTACAGCTGAACAAAATCTGAGGTGGCCGTGACTTCTGATTTAATGGGTATGGAAGCAGACAGGAAAGTCATGTATGCAGAAAACACACCTACTTGCTCATATGCTCACATTTTCTTTCATCTAGAAGCACACACATATGTACACTCACACTGTAGATTACAGAAGGGGCCTCCACACTCACGGAGGGACTCTGTGGCCATGCTTCTCCACATATCAGTCCCACTACAGCCCTCTGTGGAATCTCAGATGCTGTCGTCTTTACTGAATGATTACCTGAACCAAGGCCTCTTCCGCCCATGTAGTGGAAACTGCTGGCCCTCAGAGGCCGTGTTGGCTCTAGCTGGTTGTCATCACTGAGGCAAGGTAATTGATTCATTGCTGATAATGCCCATCTGGGAGCAGAAAGAAAGGATAATTGTACCTTCCTGTTTCAAATGATAGTTAGAGGATGTCTGTTTTTCATGCATTAGTGGAAACATATATATATATATATAATATATATATATAATATACATTAGTGGAAACATATATATATATATATATATGTATATTGTACTCCTACAGGAGATGTATTATGCTATTACGCATTTACAGGTTCATGTATTTTGGGTTTCTTCTAGAACATGTTTACATGCTTTAATGTTCAAAAAAACACTTAATTTTCCTCATACTATCTGTGCTGGAACACCTGTATTCACCCTCTGTCTGAGATGCTCCTTTTTAGGTGCCTGTCTCTTTAAGCCCCCCTTCCAAAAAGTCCCAGTCTGATCTGACTGGTCAACATTTCCAGGTCTTCTGTGTATCTGCAATCTTGCACATTTTTTTTCCTAAGTATGTTTTGCCTAGTTCCGTCCTACTGTGATTGGCTAGTACTCTTCATGTTAACACATAGAGGGTTAGTACCAGCCAATCACAGTACAGTAGGGTGGAACTAGGCAGAATAAACTTAGGGAAAAAAATGATGTTGGCTTTTCTGTATTGTTATGGCAGACAGAGAATGACTGTATAGCAGCACTGTCTACCGTAATAGAATAACCAGTATAAGCTAAACCAACATTTTCACAACTGAACATGATCCAGCAGGAATATGATCTGATATCAGGGAGAAATTTACAACATCAGTGACTAAAGCACAATTCGGACGGGATTAGTTTTACATGGGCACGTAAGGTAATGTCACTTTGCCACAGGACGTCTGTAATATTAATGGCCAATTCGCATGGTATAAGAAATATCAGTAAAACTACCACAAGTGGGAGGGGTAAATCCATTCATGCACCGCCGTCCCCTCCTGTCGTCATGTGCGTATGACGTTGCTTCCTGTGCATACCACACTCGAACACACTTGAATCGTGTTTGTCGTAGGCTCACAGTACCTGAGGTTTCACACGGACTTGTCCGACTGTGAAGTGCAAAACTGAGTGCTTCTTCAAGAGCCTCTATGCTTGAAAATCTGCGAAAAACCACTTGTAAACAGGATATGACGAAATATCTACACACATATTTACTGCTGGTCTATTCACACGGGATTAGTATTACCTGAGGTAATTGTCCGGGACCCTTTTACAGAAGGTAAAAGTCGCGGTAATCTTTACTGACATCGTGCGGTAATAATTACTGACATGGCACATTCAGATGGGACTAAAATCTCTGGTAATTATTACTTTACCCCACGTAAATACGTAAAACTAATCCCGTCCGAATAGGGCTTATGATTACATGTTTCCCTGACGTTAGCATGTAGCTACATGTAGCAGTGTAGGGCCCTGATCACACAGAAAGCATTTTAGCAGCTGGAGGCGCCTTTTTTGTGGTTGTTTTCACTGTGATTTAAGCTTTTTGCTTGTGGGTTTTGCGTTGCGACGTGCCTTGCATTTCTGCGCTCCAGGCACTTGGCACTTGCCGCTTTTGCCGGAATGCTCTGAACTCCAATGAGATGAAAAAACTTCAACTCAAAGCAAGAAAACACCCCACATCATCCCTTTTTTCATCATCTTTTTTCCCATTGTCCAGTGGGATGGTTTTAGAGGCGTGTCATCTGTGGTAGTCACAACAACAAGTTTACAGTTGGTAAACAATGGAGGAGAAACTGGTGGTGGCGGTTGCTGGATACCCAGAGCTATACAGCCCGACGATATACAGCAGGTCGTCAAACTGCCATGGCCATCTTCGAGGCGGCGAAGCTCCTGGACCAACTGGTGGTACTCCCCATGACCCCCCCCCCCCCCCCCCCCCCCCCCCCCCCCCCCCCCCCCCCCCCCCCCCCCCCCCCCCCCCCCCCCCCCTTTTTTAGGGTCTCATGTACCCGCATAGATAGACATTTCCCTGTGCCCAGCAAACTATTTATTGACAGCCTCTCACTCTCAACCAGAGCTACAGCAAGTACCCTCTGCCTGTCCATTTTAGGAACTAGCTGCTACCTACTGTCTAATAACTAAAATAAGTAAATAAACAAATGGTATATTAAGGTCTTAAGCCAGATTTTTTTGCTCCCAGGGATTACTTTTACATACATTTACCTCATGATTTGAAACTTTTGCCATGTTTTATATGAACATCTAACATTTTCACATTATATAAGGTCCCCTTTAAAGACACAGAAGTTGCAATGTGATCACTTTCACATAGTTCTGGCCCAAATTAAATCTCAACCTGGTGGTTGTGAGACTGAAGAAGTAAATTTTATGCCACAGCTCCTGAACTAAGTTTAGAAATGTTGTCATGACTGAGATGGTCAAGTTTTAAATCGGTAATGGGGTAATGTAATCTAAGGTCGGCGGCGGAAACAAAACTCACATGTCTGATTTCCACGCAAAGACAAACTTTCTGAGTCTGTTCATGTTCAGGTGACACATCAAAGAGGAAATATTTGTGTCTGGGCTCTTGAAGTGTTCTCATGATTAGATTGCAAGTGTGTATGGGGGCATTTTGTCTATGTGAGGGTGCATATAAATACAGAGGGCTGCAGTGGAGTGGTAGAGCCTGGTACACAGTTTCACTGTGTTTAACTAGTATGAAAACCCACTGCATATCCTGTGAATAATATCTGAGACGGCACAGCTCACCATGGACAATATTCTAGGAAATATATGACATATTTTTTCATGTTATTTCTCAGACATTGCATGGTTTGCCTCATCCTTTTGTCATGTTTTTACTTTTGAGAATAATCAAGTTGGAACAATGAAGGGTGACTCAAGAGAGATGTTTTGATTTGAAGACACAATGACCTTACTGTAAAGGTGTGTTTTTAAGTCTACACCCATTATCTGTATTTATTCTTGCTTATCGGTGCATGTAAGAGGGGAAGCTGCCCTTCAGTTGATATGCCCACAAGCAACGACTAACAGCTTGACTCACCTTTTTCCACTTTCCACTGTTCACCACAGCCCCCAGCATGTCAGCGTCCAACCAGCATTGCGTGAACACATTCACAAAGTCTGAATGAAAAGAACACACTTTGACTACGGTGCTATGTGCTTTTGTTTCCCATATGGTACAGCGGGCCATATGTCACACACACACACACTATAAACAAGGTTGTCTGCACCCTCCGCCCTCAAAGTGAAGCTAATAAATCTTGTGCTGACAGTAAATAGTGTGTCCCAGCGCAGAGCCTTGTAGAGGGGGTAATCTCTCTACTTCAAAGTTCAGTGGTGTGTTCAAAGGTGCTGATGTAGGTAGTTGTCTGGGTGAGTGGACAAAAAGATCAGGTCCATCACCAAGATGCTAGTTTGTGTGTGTGCGCGGTGCCTGGACTTGTCACGAGTCATGCTCGGACTGCTCCACTCTGACCACTATTAAATCACAGGTCACGTGAACTGGCCCACTCTGTGTGTGTGTAACCCAGTGAGGTGGAAGATAGAAACAAGATGCTCACATTCAAATGTACTGCTAGCTCCAACCTGTATGTCTGTGTTTAGACTTGAAAGATTATCTGGGAAATCATCTTATTTATGTTGTATTATCTAACACCATGACAAAGCTCTGATATAATCCACCAAACTTCACATCTCTGTCTTTCTTTCCGTCTGTCTGTGTGTGCCCAGGCTTCTTACAGGAGCACCCAAAGAGAAAGCCAATTCTCTACCAAACGTCAATGAAACAGGTGCCGTCTACTCCTGTCCCATTACAACAGAAACCACAGACTGCTCCAGAATGGACCTGGTCAGCACAAGTAAGCATGATGCAGAGCTCTCAACAGTGATTCATCATTTTGACATTTAACAAGGGGAGTGCAGTATTAAAACAGAATTTCTGTACAGGTCCGGTTAGTGATTTGAGTGAGCCTGAGGCACACAGTGAAGGTAGACTACAGACTGCACCCAGGCAGACTCTGAGATGAGGGAGAGGCATGAGCACTGATGTAAAAGCAAGATGTCTAGAGCCTCGCTAGCTGCTCTGTGAGGCTATTACTGTGCAGCAGTGAACTAAAATTTAACAAGCTAATTTTTAGTAGGCATAGTGTTTACCTAGTTCACTAGCGTAGTATTGCATGCTAACATTCAAACTCTTGTCAATTTTCACTAAACAAAAAATACCATTGAAGCTGATTTGAATGTCATAGTTTTGTAGAAACTGAATTATTGGTCAAATTTTCACTGTGACCAGAGGGTGGCGCTGGATTTAAAGTCAGAGGATCAGCAAAGTCATTCGGATTCATCTTCTGGGCACCATGAATGTATCTAGGCCTGCAAGATGTTGATAGAAAACCATCCACTATGTCTTGAGATCTTTTAGTGTGGACAGATTGGTGGAGCCACATTGGTGGTGTGCAGTGGCACCCCCAAGAGGGACACCAAGTGTGGCCATGCTCACCCTGATACAGTTGCTGGCCCTGCCACTCACCATCCCATGCAAAAATAATTTGAGGCAGACATTACTGTCGTCAAGTGGCTACAGTGTGCTCATTTTTTTATTTTTGCAAAGGGAGTGGGTTCTCGTGAAACCAGACAACCTAGGTCATCCATTGGTACCAACCATATTGGGATAGCTTGTCGGGGAAGGGGGCTAAATGATGCTTCAAAGTCTATAGAACTTAAAAGTGAAATGTCAGATTACGGATTTACCTTGTAGTTTTAGATAATATTTTTTTGTTAATAACTCAAAATTCCATAATACACAACTGGACAGGCTCAGAATCTTAATCTTTCATTGTATAAAACATACCATGTTCAGTTTTCTCTCAAATATTGTGGAGTTGTTTTATGGAATGAAAAAAATAATTTATTGGATTCTTCTGTGTCATTGTCTTTGTACAAAAACGACTCTAACTTTATATTTAAATTTTAACTGTATACTGGTTTTTTTTTCTGAGTATTTAAAATGTATTGATAAATTTGACTGTTGTATTTTACCACTTCCATGTCTTCTGGGTGTGGATTTCATATAAGCCTGTACAGGTTTCTACCACACCCTCACATGCACTTTTTTTTATATTTTTATTCATTTTTGTAATTATGTATGTCAAACACTTAAATTTAAATAAAATAGATACAATAAAATACAATAATTGTTTTTAAAAATAATGATAAATAAATAAAATAAATTAGACATAATTTTGGCGAGGGATCAACTGGCATGGTTATTTTCACAGAGGTCCCTTGAACTTTCACCTCAAGATATCTGAATAAAAATGGGTTCTTGGACCCACAAGTATCCCCTAAACGTGAGAAGGCTTGTTCCCAGTAAATATTTGTTCCTTACTCCTTCAAATTAAAGCTGTACATTTGTCTTTTTAAAGAAAAGGACGACCAGCCTATTTAAAGAACAGTGACTTGCCTAACACGTATATCTACAGATTGATAACACAATAAAACAGAGTTACAGTGGAAAATGTTGACTGTACTGGTATTAGTCATTCTCTATGAAATAAGAAACCAAAGTTTACTAGTATGCAATTCCTTAACTGTCATACTGACATAGTTTTCTGCTAGCCTTTAGCCTATTCAGTATAACTGAATTCCTGAAATGCAGTTATGGCTTTTGGTTTTGGTGTGCCACTCCAAAATTATCAGCAGCCCCATCTGGTCACGTCTATAAAACTTTCCGGGGGCACCACTGCTAGCATGGCTTAAAAAGAACTTTAGAATATTATTAAAGGGATACTTAATTGATTTAGTACTTCGTTTCCATAAAGTTAATTCAAAAAATCATAGTCAAAATTGAAGCAGCAGAAGCAGTGATGTTCTATCTGGACCAGGAGGTCAAACTCCAAAAACTCTGGATCCTATGTTTACCATAATTCACCCAGCAACATCTTTTTATAATCAGAATCAGAATCAGAAATACTTTATTGATCCCCGAGGGGAAATTATGATTTTTTTTTACAGCTGCTCTGATGTAAAGAATAGAGAATTTTAAGAAGTAAGAATAAGAGTATGAAAAAAAGTGTGTAGATATTGAGCAATAAATAGAATAAAGTAGAAATTAAATGTGCCCTCAGTTGATCATGATGAGTTAACTGCTCTTTATGTGTTAAATCATGGAGTTTCCCTTTAACACATACACTGCAGAGGATTCCCCTGATCTCAGAGTGAGGAACTGTAAATAACCTTCATATGATAATCAGCCAGCTTCCTCTTTATTCAGTAAGGACAGAGCAAGTGTGTCAAACAATCTCACAGTCTAATCCACTTCATGTCCTATACATAATATTCATGATCATTTGCTGCACCTACACGATGAGCTCCAGGATATGAAACTCTGAAAGCGCATCTTCTCTTAATTGAAGGTTATTAACTTATAGACTTACCGCTCTGCTACCTGGAGGTGAATAGGCCTCCCGGAGGCTACGACTAACAACAGTAATAAAAGGATTCCTCATCACTTTTGATGTTGAGGTTGGAGTGACTGTTTGTACAGTCACAGCACATTTTTGTGGTTGAAATATGTCAAGGCATGATCCAGGCTGAATGCAGCTTTACTATTTGGGTTTGTTTGGTTAAAATCTGATACTGAATTGAATGTTTTGTGTTTTATTTGTTGTTGTTTTTTAAATAAAAGACCAAACATTTCATTATAAGCTGCACGTTATATTGGTGTTTGTACACTTCCACAGCAAATCCATCTGAGATGGTGGAGGGCATGTGGCTTGGTGTGACGGTGGCCAGTCAGAGAGACCAGCCGGCAGGACGCGTGCTGGTGAGATGACACTCTGTTTTACTTTATAGTCAGTGTCACAGGTGGCATATTAGGAATATGGTGACATTTACTGTAACACTGAGGGGATGCAGGCTGAGACAAAACCCTTTGTATTTCAATATTTACTGTCACAGATGACAGTGTGCTTGTTGCAACACATCTGTTATGGCTGGAAACTGCAAGCAGCTGTTTTTTTTTTTAAATTTTATTTCATTTTAAGCCAGTTCTTCATCTATTGCTAGATTTTTACAAAAAAAAAAGATTTATTTGTTTTTAATTTTCATCCATTAAAATAAATGGCATATTTTGGCATAACGTCTTGTATTGTTTTATAAATATTAACAGTATTTGGTTTACAAAACCATAAAAATATGGAAGCCCCAAGAGGCAAATCTGAAAAAAAGAAAGAAAAAAACAACTTCTGGTGATCTATTTTGTAAGTCTAATCTAAAATTTGTTTTGCCAGAATAGTCTTTCTAAGTCTTTTACATTTTTTTACATCATGAAACAGGTGAAAAAAAAGTGGAATTTTTTTTGTCAGGATAATATTCTAACTGTTTATTGTTGTAATACTCATTTTGGCCACAAGGGACTTACGTGCACCATTACCCATTATTCTAAATAGAGACATTCGTGTTTTCTTCCAGGTGAGTTTCAATTTTCATCATGTACTTTAAAGACAAGTATATATATAAATGTGAGCACGGACAAAAATAAAACTCACAAAACAAAGATCGCTTTTAGAACTATGTAGAACATCAGGTAGTCAGCCTCTTGTGGCCAAAATCAGTATTGCAGCAACAAACACCTAGATGATCCTGACAATAAAAAAAATAGAAATTCAACCACCATTTTTTTTCTTGTTTCACAGATGAAAAAAAGTAACTTTGAAAGATTAACCTGGCAAAACCTTTTTTCCCACCTGTTCTTAAGTCATAAACACACGAGAGAAAACAATTTAGGTCAGACTTAGGAAAATGGATCCCTTGAATTTTTTTTCACTTGCCTCTTAGGGTTTCTGTAGAAAAGATTGCTTCACACACGGGGGACATTACTTGTTTTTTAGTTTCATGGGATTTTAATTTACGTAACAAGATTTTAGCCACTTTTTTAAATATTCAATTTGCACAATACAATAGTAAGTAAGACATTCTTTTTCAATAATTAAAAGAGAATATATATATTAGAAGAGAAGAGAACATTAGGGCCTCACAGTGGTGAAGTGGTTAGCATTGTCACCTCACAGCAAGAGGGTTCCTAGGGTGGGGAAGCCCTTCTGTGCAGAGTTTGCATGCTCTCCCCATGTCAGCATGGGTATTCTGCAGGTACTCCAGCTTCCTCCCACAGTCCAAACATCAGGTTAATTGGTGACTCTTAATTGGCCGTAGGTGTGACTGTGAGTGTGAATGGTCTCTATGTGTCAGCCCTGTGATAGTCTGGTGACCTGTCCAGGGTGTACCCTGCCTGGGATAGGTTCCAGCCCCCCCACAACCCTGAACAAGATAAGAGGTTACAGAAAATGAACAAATGAATGAGAACATTATCAGAAGAGGTCTGACACATACGTTAGAGCATAAGTAGTCTGTAACATCCCAAAACCCCACTCTTCTCTGGTGTCCAGGCATGCGGGCATCGCTATGTAAAGATCATCCAAGGTGGCAACGAGGAGCAGCGACGGATGACAGGAAAGTGTTATGTCAGGGGCAACGACCTGACCTATGACCCCAATGATCTCTGGCAAGAATACAATTATGAGGTCTGCAACCCCACCTTTGACATTGAGTATGAGGGCATGTGCAACATGGGCATCTCAGCCGGCATGACAGACACTGATGTGTACATCGGTGCTATAGGCAGCTACTTGTGGCAAGGTGAGCACGGAGGAGTTAACGCCAAAAAGAGTGTGTTTTGTTACTTAACATTGAAATAATGGGCTGGTTTCACAGACAGGGATTAAACCCTGTGCAAGTCTGCCAAATTCTAGTGTTAGTCTAACACTGGGATTATTCTCTGTCTGGGAAACCTGTCCATTGTGCATGAAGCAGACATAACATTGTTGTCTATTCCTACTTTGTTATAAAGGAAATGTTCATGTAACGTGGAGGGATCCAGATCCAGCGAATGCCTGGGACACCTCAAGCAAAAACTTTGGACAGCTGAACAAACGATACAGTTATATGGGTAAATACACAGTATGTTTCTGCAAATGAATTCACTCTCCCATGCTTTCAGTGTCTTGTAACCCTCCCACAGTCAGATGACTGTTTAACAGTGAATCTTAAATACTTTCCTCTGCAGGTTACTCAGTTCTTGAGGAGAAGAAGCTGCTGAGCCATGACGAATACACAGTGGTGACAGGGGCTCCCAGGAAAGATTCCAAGGGCTCTGTGATTTTTGGGAGAAAGGCTGTGGACGGCCTCAAGTCAGTGCTCATTATCCCCGGGGAACAAGTGGGCTCGTACTTTGGAAACAGCCTGGCTGTCACTGACCTCAACAATGACGAGTGCGTCTCTACACACCACACTGAGAACTGATGCTATCTGTATCTTTTTCTTTTTTTTAGAGATTTAATTATGAAAATTTTTAATCAAATCTATAGAGTATCCTCCAAATGAACAAAAATCAGTGAGTCAAAACGTCTTTCATTACAGGGGACCAAAACAAGCCAATTAAATAAGAAATATTCTTTCAGCCTAATGCCATATTTTAAAGGTCCAGTGTGTAGGATTTAGTGGGATCTGTTGGCAGAAATGCAATATAATATTCATGGCTATGTTTTCATCAGTTTAGAAATCACCTACAACCAGTGGTTGAATTGTTAATTTTTAACAAGGGGGATGCAATGTAGCTTTGATTTTTTTGCATGCACACATAATCAAATATGACAGCACAGATGTGCACAATTAATCAAGATAAAGAAAAATGGCATGACCTATACCTGCTGCCTTTAAAAAACACACATAATGCAGTACTATTGCTATTGCAATACAGACAAAAACATTTAAGAGTATAAATAAGACTAGTTCTGAAACAGTTGTGAAAATTAATCTCAGTGTCACCCTTATCCTATAGACATTTCCTTAGCCAGTTATAATTTCTCCTTACCTGTGAAGTCTTGGGCTGATAATTGGTGCTGCTGTCAGGTCCCTGTCCTGATACCTGCCTGGTTTCTCCCTGTCCCCCTTCTATCTATTGCAATAATATAGATAGTAAATGTGCAAAGCAAAAATCATAAATAGAATTAGGAATAGTAGTGGTGACATAGCTGTGGAAATTAACCTCAAAGTCACTTTTATGCTATAGATATTTTCTCTCAGCCAGTTATAATCTCTCCTCACCTGTGAAGACCCTGCATGATCATCCTTGCTGGCCTCTGGTCCACTGTCTCCTCCCTGACCCTGCTCTTTATATTGTGGCAATAAAGATTAAAAAAAATATGTTCTTATTAAGCAGGAGTGGGTTTTTCCTAGCATGAAACTAGCTAGCAAGGTATTTAACATAGGTTACAATAACATTAGTGTTCTTGTTAACTTGATATATTGATATATTGGCATGTATTAATTAGTCATCATTTAGCTAACATTATCTACATGCAACAGCATAACTCAACTTACACGGTTTGTTTGGAAGAAACTGTACAAGGTTTTTTGCTTCTTGCTGGCTGGTTTGCTGAACATAGTTAACACAGCGGCACTGCCGAGCAGCACACCTCTCGTCTGTGCGAGATAATGCCATGTTGTCTCTACAGCAGCCCAGAATGGACAAGCCAAACACTGGCTCTAGATAGGGCCATTTGTGTTTTCACTTGGGCCACTGTAGCTCTCCTACACTCCTGGCAGACAGGAGACCACTAGATGACACTAAAGTCTGTAGACTAGACCTTTAAGCACAAGTTAGAAAGGAAGGTGTTATGTTTGCATGCGTTAATGAGTTGTCTGTAATTTTATCTCTTGCTTTTGAGCTGCACCATGCTCAAATGCTCTGCAGCTATGATCTGCCCTGTTATGCGGAGAATGCGTGACGCTGATGTATGTGCGAGCTGAGATGAGCAAAGAAAACCTGTCCTTTCAACAGCTGAGATAAGGTGTTGATCATGACATCATGGTGAAATCATGTGTCTCCCTCAGTGCATGAGGGGAAACCGTGTTTGGTCTGTAGGATTTTAAGGAAGATGCAAGGAATATAATGTTTTTGTAAGTTCTCTTCTGGTATGTGTGTGTTTGTGCATGTATTTGTGTATTAAAGCATGTTTTTGGATGTCTCCTTTTCCTATTTCAGCTGGAATGATCTGATCGTGGGAGCCCCATTCTACTTTGACCGTATGAAGGATGAGGGAGGAGCAGTGTATATTTACATGAATGAGAATGGATCATTCCAAAACACTGCCACCATGGTGCTGAAGGGTCCATCGGCCTCTGCGTTCGGCATAGCAGTGGCAGCCATCGGCGATATCAACCAAGATGGATTCCAAGGTATGAGGCATTTGTTTTACACTGACAGGGGGTGAACAACATAAAGTAAATACCTCATGGAAAAGATGAAATCACAGCTCAAACATTTGAAAAATAATTGCAGCTAAACTGCAAGTCTATTGAAAATAATGCACTTCTAATTAAAGTCCATTTTAGGAAGTGTTTCTATTATTTTGTCTACCCCTGTGTATACCACTGTATGTTAGAGGTGGTGCACTAATGTTCTGCTGTGAACAGTATGGTAAAGAGGAAGCAGTCAGTTCCCCATGATTGATTTTTATGCACTGTTGCTAAGCAATTACCTCAGCAGGGGAAAGGTAATGTACTGTGTTGCATTCGGACTGCATAAAAGCTGCACAAAATTGCTACCTTTGGCAATTTGCGATCCTTCAGTAGTGCAATGCTGCCACCTAGTAGGTTAATATATGCCATGCACAGACCTCCCTATGCTTCCTCTTAGTAACCTGCCTCCTCATGCAACTTTTTATATTTTACTCCACTGTTTCTGTCTGCAGACTTTGCAGTGGGAGCTCCATTCCACGACACAGGAAAGGTCTACATATGGATGGGAAGTAAAAAGGGAATCTCAAAGGAGCCCAGTCAGGTAACATTTAACTTCATGCCACAGATGCACTTCACACATAGAAAGGGCCCAGATGTATTGTGTTGCAATCCCGTGTGTCATTGTCGCCCTCTGCAGGTGATCGAGGGGAAGTCAGTGGGAAGTGGAGGATTCCGCACCTTCGGCTACTCCATCAATGGAGGGATGGACATGGATGACAACAGTTACCCGGACATCTTGGTTGGCTCTTTGGATGACCGGGTGGCCCTGCTCAGGTAGAAATAAGAGACAAATCAAAAATATGAAGTTGTGGGGTAAAAATTTGATATTATAATGGGTTCATGTGTTCGGAAATAATTGTTATATTTTGTTTTGTTATGTTTAACACAGGTATTTTGAAACCTAAATAATATACTGTAACCTGGGTTGTTTACAGGGCTCGACCAGTCGTCCACTTAACTACTGACTTCAATGTCAAGCCAGACATTGTAGACCCAAATCAGTGTGGGAGCTCACCATGGTGAGATGTCTTCTCAGAATATCTCATTCTGAAGCTGGCGTGTTCAGTGTTGCATGAAAATAAATAAATATATTTTTATTTGTGTCTTACAGCATCACAGCGACTCTGTGTATGTCTTTCACTCTGAGCAATGGAAACAAAGACTTTAAGAAAAATGCCAGTAAGCAGACCTTCTTTACTTTAACTACTGATTATCTTCAATGACAGTAAATGAATAATAATTTCAAATTGATATACCACCTTGCTGGATGCTTGTTATATTCTCCAAAACTGCTGTATTAATTAGTAATTAATAACACGTGAACTGGCTGCAGTTTTCTATAATGTGCTGTATGTGTTTCTGCTTTGTAAAGCGGTGAAGTACACGGTGGAGGCCGACGTGCTGAGGATAAGAAGCGCTCGTGTTCGTTTTAAGGACAGTAATGATGACACATACACCGGCTCCCTGAACCTGCCATCCTCCAAAACCAAATGTCAAACTCTGAAACTATTTGTAGTGGTAACGTCTTTTTAATTTGTAAATGTTTATTTACTGCTATGGACAGGGTGCTGGCACCCAATAACCATGTGCTTATGAAGACTAATGTAAGACTCTTGGATGATTCTTCAGACGCCTTTGAGGGACAAACTGGAGCCAGTGATCTTTAACCTCAGCGTGTCCTTACATGAACAAAAACCTAAAGCAAGACGCTCCCTGCAGAACCTGGACTCGTACCCAATCCTCAGCCAGGAGCAGAAAGTCACCGAAAGAGCTGAGGTATGGAGTGATGCATTCACTGAACTCTCAGGTTGGGAATCTTTAGGCCTGATTCAATATTTTCTGATTCAAAGGGCTATGATGCCATTATAAAATGATTATTAATGCATCTTGATTCATCAAAATCTCTAATTTCCATACATTATTTATTTTTTCTCCCCCACCCCACTACACTTAAAAATACACTGAAGCACATGTATGTGATAGTCCCCGTTTAAGTTAAAAGGTATTATTATTTTGTCTGTTTCCTGCAGATTCACTTTCAGAAGGAGTGTGGTTCAGACAACAAATGTAGCAGCAACCTGCAGCTGACGGCCCAGTTTGGCGATGAACATGAAAATCCTTACCCCAGGTAAAGTTAAATTCTGAATAATGAAGCCCTCTTTGACCGATAAGGGTTTCTAAAGCTATTACAGAAAACTTTTTAATGAATGTCACAAGTAGCTTTTTGAGGGACGTTTGGGAAATGTGTTTATTTGCATGTCTCTGCAGTAAATATGAAGCTAGCAACAGCAGCTGGTTCACATAGCTTTGCATAAAGGCTGGAGAAAGGGATATAGCATGTTAGCCTATATATTGTATGTGTAATCCATATTGGACAGAGCACAGGCTAGCTGGTTCCCCTTGTTTCCAGTCTTTGTGCTAAGCTAAGCTCTCCTAGCTGTCATTGCCACATGCTTCCAACAGAAACAATACCTGGATATAGATAATGATGTAAATGTATCAATAATACAAAAAAAAAGATTGTTAAACAATGAGTAAAGAAATAATATCCGTCATGTTGTCCCTCTATCTTTGTGTCCAGGCAAGGGAAATTCCAGAAACTTCAGTTCAACAGCTCTGTAAAGATAATAGCGATGATGGTGGAGGTTACCAACTTACCTGCTCTAGGGAAGCTGGCTGAAGACGCCCACCAGGCCACGCTGAACATCACCATCCCTAATGCACTAAGTTACTCTGGCGTCAGGGCCTCGGTACGTCCACTGGAGGGCAGCAGACGACTGCGAGATGTCCACGCATTAACATTTCCTCATGCCATGTGTTGCATTGCACTGTTAATTCATTATGTTTGTGTGTCTTTGGAATTTAATCCTTTTGTTCACTTTCTTAATATTCTAATTGTGTGTTTAGGACCACGACATACAGTGCCGTTTGGATGACACAGTGATTTGTGAGCTGGGGAATCCACTTAAAGGCAACGAAAAGGTTCGTTCAAATTGATTTTCTCTCAGAGATGGTGAGTTTTTTCCTCTGCTGAGATGAGTTTGACACCTCTCATTCTCTTGCTTTCATCATCAGGTCGCACTAACCCTCAGGTTTGAGACCTCAGGGATCGATTTGTACACAGACGAGATTGAGTCCCAGCTGCTTCTGTCCACGTAAGAGCTTAACATCGATACATGATTGTATTGATATCAAAGGCTTGGGTTGCAGTTTTGATTCCACGGCATGGACAGATTATGCAAATATGCATAGGGCCCCATCACATCTCCGACACAGGAGCAAGACACACAGATTTTGTGGTGGTTTTGTGCCTCTTTGTGGTCATTTTTTTGTCTCCTTGTGGTTGTCTTATGCCGCTTTGAGGTACTTTTGTCTCTTTTAGTCATTTTGTGTCTCCCTGTGGTTGTTTTGTGTCTTTTTGTAGTCATTTGGGTCCCCTTTGAGGTAACTCTGTGTCTTACTGACTTAATTTGGGGTCTTTTTTTGGTCTTTTTGTATCACTTTGTAGTCTTTTCTTCTAGTAGTTGTTTTCTGTCTCTTGTAGTTGTTTTGTGTTTCTTTATGGTTGTTTTTTGTCTCCTTGTGGTTGTTTTGCATCTCTTTGTGGTCTTTTTGTGTCCCCTTGTGGTTGTTTTGTGTCTTCTTGTAGTCATTTAGGTCCCCTTTGAGATAACTCTGTGTCTTATTGATGTAATCTGGGGTCTTTTTTGGTGTTTTTGTATCACTTTGTTGTCATTTTGTGTCTTCTAGTAGTTGTTTTGTGTCTCTTGTAGTTGTTTTGTGTTTCTTTGTGGTTGTTTTGCATCTCTTTGAGGTCTTTCTGTGTCTCTGGTCATTTTATGTGTCCTTGTGGTTGTTTTGTGTATTTTTTTTAGTTGTTTGGTTCCCCTTTTAAAGCAGGGTTGGCAACCTGCGGCTCCAGACCCTCTCTGTTGGCTCCCTGTGTCTTTGACATATAATTATATGGAAATTAATGCAGTTATTTTTTAAAATTCAGATTTTCATTTGTCATTTTTGCAGGCCTGAAGAAATGATTGCCCTATACAACTGTAAAGATGTGTAGCCTATACATTGAATTAAAAAATGTTTTCACGTTTCTTCAATTAAAATGTGCATCATATGTCTACGACCTGGTGCCTTTCCCTCTAAATTTTGCTGAACTTCAGTAGTGGTTGCGAGCCTGGAGTCTCTAGCAAGGCTAGCTATGGATTCCAAATCCAAACAAGGGAAAGTCTTTTAATTTAATAGTGTGTGGACAAATTAATTTGCTTTCACCACAGACGCTGCAAAGTTATAGTAATAAATAATTGGAAAGAGCCCACTGCAGGATAGCCACTTTGTAGTAAATCATATAAATGAATCCTCGTTTAGACCTATTTGTAATGTTGATGGTCTGGTTTAGACTTAATTGGCTGTTAGTTTATTCAGATATGTTTTGCAGCTTTTCTTTTCTTTGCCAATAATGGCTCTTTTAACCTCCTGAGACCCTGTGTCCTCATATGAGGACATTGCATTTTGGGTTAACATGAGCTTATACTTCATTTTACTTAGCTTAGACCCGTTGTCCTCGTTCATGGACACTTTTTTGTGCCATCTAGTGGTAGTAAGAGCATAATACATTAATCCATGTAAAAGTCAGAAAGTCAGTCTGCAGCCGAACCCGACACAAAATTGGACAAAGTCCGAAACCTGAACAAATTTTATAATTGAAACTTGTTTATTTATGATTAATAATGTTTGTAGTTTGATATGGCATCAAATGGAAGTGCTGGAAATACTGCTATGGAAATACTCATTTGAAGACATTGGGATTTTATTATTGTCTCGTTTGAGGACATTGGGACTTAATTATTGTTGACAATGTTTACTTTTTTATACTCATTGGGTCCTATTGATCCAAAATAGCTAGGAGAAATTAAAAATGTATACCAAACAAAAGTTCAGGTCTCAGGAGGTTAAGGTTGCTGACCCTAGTTTTAAGGTAATCTTCTTTCTTATTAAGGTAATTTTGTGTCCTCTTGTGGTTATTTTGTGTCTCTTCCTGGTTAGTGTGCATTACTTTCCCATTGGACATTTTGCAAGGGGAGGCCAGGGGGCCCCCTGATAATTTGGGCCCCTGGGAAGGCCTGTTCATTAATCCATCCATGTTCTACAGTTTAGCATTTTGTAGCTGTTCTTATTAGTGATTTTTTTAAGTTTAATGTTTTAAGTGGCTCTAGTGGGTTCTGATATAATCACTAAATATTACTCTGGCCCACAATGTTGTAATAAGTGTTGTATCTCCAGTGTTAGTGAGCAGAGTGACCTGAAGCCTGTGCCTGTGGCCCTGCTGATTGAAAACACCATCAACCCCACCTTCTCCATGTGAGTCCCATTACCTAACATGACATTCTGTATATACAGTAAAGAGTGCAGAAATACAATAGTAGAGTACAGAGTACAATAATTCTTAACTGTCACCCCATTCAGAGCAAAACCGCTGGTGTCAACAGAATTTAGTGGGACGGTAATGGGCGAGTCAGCCATGGTCAACACCAGTGACGTTGGCAGTCTGGTGGAGTTCACCTTCGAAGTGAGTCACCTCCACCGCTCAGACTATATTAGACCTCCAGGACTGTATATTGCATCTATAATATGTGTGCTGCCCACATTTCCATCATCTCCACCCTGTCTTTGAAGCCCAAACTTTCATTCTTCAGAAGTTTAATATTGCGTGGGGAAGGAATTGTTATGTGCGCCATGGTTTGTGGTATAAGCATGACCAGGGGTGGATACTATTTAGGGGTTGCAAAGTCACAGTCAGGCCCTGACTGTTATTTCACACCATGTTGTTATGTCACACCATCTGTTTGATTTCTACTGAAGTTTCCTTTTTGTCTATGTTTTTTTTTTTACTACTAGGTGGACATGCTGGGACAGCCCCTGGGAGACATGGGGACTCTGGCTGTGGAGTTTGAGTGGCCCTTTGAGGTAGCCAACGGCAAGTGGCTGCTGTACCTGACGGAGATTGTTGTTAAAGGGCAATCGGAGACGGAATGTAACTCTGCTGAACGAGTTGTCAACATGCTTAACCTAACGGTAAGGCCCTTTTTGAGGCTTTGGTTTAGAGCCACAGTATGCTTCTTTTCCTCATGAGCCAACTGATATGTGTTGTAGGAAAAAGAGATGACCGTAATCAGACGTTGGTCAAAAAAGTGTGTCGGGTGCCTCTTGGAAAACAGGGAAAAACAGGATAAACAGGAAAGCAATCCAGGCACTCCAAAATAAAAGACAAAAATAGCTTATATCAACAAGGAAGGGGATAATAAAAGCCTTTATTGCAGTGGCTAAATCATTAAAGGAGCCAACATGTTTAAACCCCTGTAGGTCTTGTGCCCAAAATCTTTTCCCTTTTCATACAGATACTGAAGATGCAGACTGTGAATGGAAAATACACACAAATATTGCCAGTGATTCAGCTCGCTGTAAACCACATGAAAACATCTAGGGCTCATATTCAGGCCTTTGATATATGCCATGCCTTTCCCATCTAATCTTTCCTATTTCTGTGTACCGTCAACTATGCAAAAGCTGTTCTGCTCTTTCATTTTTTTTTGCAGCTTACTCCTGCCCACACCCAAGACATACGCACGTCCCAAAATTACTGAAAAGCCACCAACATGGTCACATATAAACAGAGAGGTACCTACTGGCTTTAATGAAAGCCTTGAACCTAAAACATTGTGTCTGCAGCCATGCTAGCATCTCCGTGAAGCTGGCACAGCAGCACTTTGAGCTAAATGCTAACGCTAGCAGCTCTCTCAGTGATAACATACTAGAATTTAACAGGTGCACTGTTCACTGTGTTCACCATCTTAGTGCAGCTTATGTCAACTACCAAGAAGAACAGTGATGCGCTATGATCCATCTCACACACAAACTAGCAGCGCAGCGCTGGATTGTACGTTTCTTACTGCGCTCATTTCATTCATTTCACAGACTGATTAGGTGTAGCATGTGCAACATATAGACCAATGTGGCACTGTAGACTGATTAACAGACAGATTAAAAAGAGAGGCAGCTCTGTGTCTCTCTGAGTGATGCTGGAGAACTTGTGAGTGAGTGTGCGGGGCAGAGCTGTACAGAGAGTGTCAGAGAGGAGAGATGAACACTGTTATGTAACTCAACTTGACCCTATATCGATATAAACAGAATTGTCTAAATTTACGTCGTGATTGAAAATATATTGTTTATTTTATCACCCACGGTTATTTACAGGTTAAAAGACGGTTCTGCTGTCGGTGTGACGGATGTTAACCGTAATGTTAATCGGATGTTAATCATACTGCGGGGCTTCTGCCCATGGATGTATTAAAAACCTGGATACACTGTTGGAGGTGTGACCCCGTTTATTCATATGAAAGTGCTCAGTAGCGCATGAAGAAAAAGTTGGATTTCTGCAGTATGAAATTACCCAGATGATCGGCGCTCCTGCATCATTGGGCCTACAGAGCAAGCGCACTACTTCTGGTTAAATGCTTCACTAACTTGAATGGACCTTTCAAATGTTATTGGACTGAATGGATTAAATCCTGATAGTGAAACGAGTAATACGATGTTAAAAAAATGTATTCACTAATCTACAGATGTCTCTTTCCCAATGTAACTCTATGGGAAAAAGTATTTTTGCACCCCATGGCATCATGTGACAGACTCAGGAGTGGTAATGCCACTGTTAGACCACTAACAAAATTGCCTTCAAAGCACTTCTTGGGGACCTGCTTCTGCCCACACGGCAAAATATGACAAGTAGTGATGAGACCACATTGTGTTGTGTTAGCTTGTTCTAACCAGGCAGAGAGAGCAAGAGGAGAGCCTCTCGTGGGGACGGTCGCTAGAATTGAACATTTTTTAATTTGTGACGACACCTCGGCGCGTCCAATAGCAGAGAAGAGTCTGAAGTAGACCCGGAAGCGGTCACCATGGAGCTGTAGCTCCTGAACGAGCCTGTACTCCCCAAATCCTGTCTTGCACGCCTTGCTCTCCTCTTGCTCTGCGCCCTACCCTGCGGTGGGCGCCACGAAAATCACACTCTGTGTCAAAGAGGCTTAACAGACTAACTGATTGGTGGCAATCAGCTGAATCGGGCCCTTTCTGGCTACTGTATGACAGCCGGATACAGTTAGTTAGGACATTCGGTAGCTTCTTGTATCTGTCATACGTACATTGATAGGTGTAACCGACAGCACAACAATCAGGGTCCTGATGGGCCTCTTTGCGTGGGCCTCCCAAGAGTCTAGGATTGCCACTGCTAATTAGCACTGAACACAAAGTACAGCTGAGGCTGATGGGAACAATGTTGCCATGCTGCTTGCATGGCTAACGACTGTGTGACAGTCAGTCTCAGTTTAATTCTGTTGGTTTTACTGCTCAGATACCTTTGGGTAATGTAACAGTGCACTTGATGAATTTCACTGAAGCAAGATGAAATGTGCTTTGCTGCCGTTGTGCTGTCCACAGGCTTGTTACGTGAGCTGTAATTCATCCTGACATGAGTGTAAACTGAAGCAGCCTGAGCAGTACGAGTAAATGTCAGTGGTAGAAAAGGGGTGTGAAAATGGCCTTAAAGCCAAACCACAGATGTTCAGAAATACATTTCGGAAAAAAACATGCGTCGTCGCCACTTAGACCTCACAGAGCCACAAATAGAAAGTCATAACGTGTGCGGCCTAGATATAGACAGTAAAAATGACAGTGCTATTCTGAGAAGAATTTAGTAATGTCTTTATCAAGACCAGTAATTACCGCGAGCTCTCTGATGTCATGTCTCTGTCTCATCTGCTTCCTTCTCCCATGTTCCCTTCTCCCTCTCTTGTCTTCCAGTTGTCAGAGAGCTGGCGAAAACGTACTAAACGACAGATCGTGGTGGATGATGTCGACGATACAACAAAGCCACATATTAATGAGCCACAGGCAGCCATCAAGCTGCTCACGCCTCGCAGAGAGACCTACCTGTTGGTAAGAAATGGATCTGCCACATGAAGCGCTCTGATCAAAGTCAGTAGGACTCACCCTTTGGGGATGACGTATATCCGTACCAAATGTCATGCAATCTTTCTGATTGTTGCAGAGATATTTCAGTCTGGTATCCTGACTGTGGCGTGGCTAGGACCCCATAACAACAGCCTACTTTAACTTCACATGTACTGAAGTAAACAGCATTATCACTGGGTACAGAAGTGAATCTTCTTCTGTACTGGCTGTCTCCCAGAACCTTGAATTCCTATATCAGTGTTACTTACTTTAAAGGGATAGTTCAGTTTTTTGAAGAGGGGTTGTATTAGGTACTGATCCATAGACAGTTTATTACATATATAATGTTAATGTGGAAAGAGTCTATGAAACTACATTTCTGAGTTTGATTTTAGATGACAAAATCTGCTGGAAACCTCAGATCACTTATGTAAGAACAAAGCTGGCAGAGCGCTACAGTTCTGGGGAAAACAAAGCACATACTGGACCATAAATCACTGCACATTCTGTATTCATAGCTTGTACTACCATGATTGAATTACTGTGTGGAAGTTTGGGCCAACACTTACAAAAACAACTTAGAACCATTATGCATCATCCAGAAGAGAGCAGTCAGGACAGTACACAATGTGGGGTACAGGGAACACATGAACACACTGTTTTTAAAGTCACATGCATTGAAATTTTTAGATCTGGTCAAATTTAAAACTGCAATGGTCATGTTTAAGTAACAGCTAAGAAGAGTCTGTGTATTTCAGTGTATGGGATGGACTTTTGGAATGGCCTGCATGATGAGTTGAAAACAAAGCACAAAAATTAATCAACTTATAAAACTATACAAAAAGATATTTTTGGCACAGATGAGGAAACGTTGTGTTAGGGGAGTGCATATTTATTTTATTACTTATTTATTCATTTGGGTGGTAAATAGACTGGGGATAGTTGTATATTAGCTGTGAATAAATTTGGGAATTTGTTGAAATAATATAGTTAAAAGAAGTGATGTAAGAAAAGTTCTACCTACTCCTCTTCAGACAGTTACTTTGTCATGCTTGTTTTTTTATGATGTTTTTTTCTTTATTTTGGTTTGAAATAAAGCCATTCATTCACATATAGTAGATGTCAGTTGGCACGCCCTCAGTTTGGAGAAGCAGACAGTAGTCCAGTATGGAAGCTAAGCAGTCTACTGTTGTGGTGGAGTCAGCAACAAAATTTATTTTAGCCACCTAAAAAAGTCCCACATAAAAAAAATAAAAATAAAATCTTTATCAGTTTAAGTGTATCCTATATTTAGAATATTTGGTAACACTTTACTTGAAGGTATCTACATAAGAGTGACATGACACTGTCATAACTACGACATGACACGGTTATGAACCTCTCATGAACATTATGTACATGTCATAAATGTTTATGACTGCTGTCATTAAATGTCATTCAGTTTTTGTGATGACAAGTTGACATTGTTTGGGTTGTCTTGATTATGACACCTTGACATTAATTAAAGTGACATTACCATTAGATGTCTTTGTCATAACAACTTGACATCAACAAAAAACGCACTCAAAAAGAGGTGCATTTTTTGTTGATGTCAAGTTGTCTTAATCAAGACAACCCAAACAATGTCAACTTGTCATTACAAAAACTGAATGACACTTAATGACATGTACATAATGTTTATGACAAGTTCATGACAGTGTCATGTCATAGTTATGACAGTGTCATGTCACCCTTATGTAGATACCTTCAAGTAAAGTGTATATTGTGAATATTTTAACTGCTTTACCTCAATGTCAGACAGAGTCCAACAAGAAAATGAAGCTGTTATAAATGCTCTTATAAATGCTGTTATAAAGTCAGACTCCATTGAGAAAAACAGCGATTTAACAATGCTGAACACAGATGCTGCTGGTCTACTTCTGCCTCAAATAGTTATTTTGTTTGTGTTACTGTGGCACTTTGGTGTTTAAAACTGTTAGTTCAGATTCACCAAAGACAGACAATGACACAGAATAAGTAACCTATCGAAGCTGGGGTAGACCAGCAGCTCCTGTGTTAAGCATACTAAAATGACTGTTTTTGTCAGTGGAGTCTGGTGGTTTGATGAGCGCATAGATTGGGAACTGAAGCTGCTAATAGCTTTCCTGTCCAAATTTGTGCTGTCTGACAGAAGGGTAAAGCAGTGAAAATATTCTCTTGAAGTTTTTTTTTAGGTTGGTCTTAAAAATATGTCTTGTGCTGATCCTCATCAACAGCACTACATTGTTTAGCTTCTGTCCAAACCCTCCAAACTGGGGGTGTGCCAACTGTCATCTACTGTATATAATACACTGACTGTGGATAAGTACCTAACACAACCCCACTTAAAAAAACCCAAATTATCCCTTTAAGGGCTAGACATTGATAGGAAATATGCCAAAGCAAAATGGTGTAATTTCCCCTGTTTGTTGACTTGTCTAACAGCTATCCTTTGTCACTGTGTGTTGAAGGAGTGCTCCAAGGGGACAGCTCGGTGCGTGACATTTAGCTGCCCGCTGTACAACGTGACGGACAAAGCTAAGATATACGTGCGGTCCCGTTTGTGGAACAGTACGATGCTAGAGGTCAGCTCATCAGCTACATACACAGACACATTATTTAAAAAAACTGTATTAAGTTGCCATGACTGAAAATGTTTTGACACTGCATGTGTGTGTGTGTTCCTGCAGGACTATCCCAATGCCCTGAGAATTATAGTCAGAGGTCAAGCCACACTAAAGCTCAATACAGATAAACCAACCATTAGGATGGAGAGAAAGACTGACATGGTGCGTGGTTATGATGATAATGGTGATAATGATTAATATGTAGGGCTGGGCAATAATGTTGTAACTGTCTTTTCCAGGTTTTAAAGGCTTTCATTACAGTAAAGTGACATCATTTTCTAAACATACTAGACTGTTCTAGATGTTCTATCATTTGCATTTACCCACATAGTCATTATCCACATTACTGATGATTATTTAGCAAGTATCGATATCATTAACAAAAGAAATATTGGGATATTTGATTTTCTCCATACTGCCCAGCCCTGTAATGATGGTAGTGATGATGATGGTGATAATTTTGACTTGACTCTCTCCACCTTCTTGTAGTTCACAGTAGAAATAGAGCCAGTGGAGAGGGAGGAGGCACCCTACGAGCTCCCGCTGTGGATCATCATCTCTGCAGCTGTAGCTGGAATTCTCCTGCTGGGAATAATCATTCTTATACTATGGAAGGTGAGACTACCAATCACCACTGCACTGATTACTCTCTTTCACATGCCGTATTTCAGACACAGACTCTGTCTGAATAGCTCTGAATATCTCCACATGTGCCATTTTTTACTCTCACCGAAGATCTTCTCTGGATTACGTGATAGCTGTTGACACATTCATCTGACTGATTTTTAAACCTCCATATCGAGCCTTTAGTTTAACCTTTGACTCACCCCCCCTTGCACCCTCCTCCACCCCCAGTGTGGCTTCTTCCAGCGAGCCAACAGGAGGGAGATGTATGAGGCCAAAGCCCAGAAGGCTGAGATGAAGATCCAGCCCTCTGAGACAGAGAGGCTGACTGAGGACTACTGAGGCCCCCAGGGGTCCCCCAACAGCACACACCAGTGGGGCTTTAGGGTAACGACACCCCTATGAATGGATTTTCTATGGATACTATTTATTAATCTTTTGGGGTGTGATTCGACTGTCTTTCCACTTAACTTTCTCTTTTATGTCCGCTTTTTGTATCTTCCTAACATCGCTTCAACTGCCCTTTCCGGCTAATACTCATGTTTGTCCTTCCTACTTTATCCGTCTTCTCCATTTTCCGCAGCGTGGGTTTATCTTCTACCTGCCTTGATTTTCCTCAGCCTATGAATCCTAAATGTCCTTCTCAACCCGTCATTAATCCCAGCTCCCCTGCTGTTTTGAGTGCATCCTCTTTAATGTCACCTCCCTCTCCTTCTCTCTCTTCCCCCACTAGCTTGGATTCTTCAAGCGAGCCGTCTACTACCGGATAATGCCAAAACACCAGGGGGTGAAAATTCGCAAGGCTGAGCGCTATCAGTTCAATCTGGGATTTCAGCCTGAGGAGCCACAGAAAAAGTATTGGATCACCAACTGGACAGAAATGCAGCATTACTACTACTGAGGCCTTTTACTTTGGGCCCTGAACCACTCAGCGTCACATTGGTTTGACACGGGCCATACAAAGAACAATGGGCTCGGTCCAGCCACATGGACTTTGCACTGCGTGGACCAACTGTGGATAGTGCATTCCTTTTTTTTTTTTTTTTTTTTTTTACTTTAAGTAGATTTCATCAATTTTTTTCAGTGCAATATACTGAACAGTTTGTTTCAGAGATTGTAATTTGTTAAGTATTTTTCATGAATGCAGTGTTTGAATCGGGGTTGCATTCAGGAGTAAATTGTAAATGGTTCTGATTACGGTGTTTGCATATATGTTTCCATTTTTTTTTCCCTTTCTGAATCATCCAAGCAAAGTTGCTGGTCATTCATCATGCTAATTTCCACCATGTCTGTTTTCCTCTCTAATCAGAGGAGTGAGTCTATTGATCTTCTCTGTGATTGTGTTTGTCTTATCCTGCTCTGTCCCCAGGCATCACTTTGTGGTCGGCGGCTGTAGGCTATGTACGGGGTTTGAACCTACGTCAGTCTTTCAGGAGATTGTTTTTCAAACTGCACTAAGAATATGTTGACCAGCATTGAGCATCTTTATTTGAATATTACTGTTTGGCAAACATTACAAAAACTAGCATTTCTTATGGTTTTGGCACTGACCTCCAAAAAGTGTGTTTTACAGGCTACGTAGAAAAAATATTCCCCTGGTTTCAGGGAATAAATACAGAAAGGTACGGGAAAAAAGTGCCATTCATTGGTTAATAAGACATTTTATAGCCCAGCTTGATACGCTTTAATTTGCCCACATAAAACTCCATGCATAAGTCATCCAAGCACCCCTGCAACACATTGAAAAGCAATAGCTTCTTGTCTGTATGTAGATTTAGCCAACATATGTTGATGAGATGGTGGGAGCACACTTGATTATTATTTATTACACTGTCTTGTGTTATTACAGTAAAGAACGTATCTTTAAAAAATATCACAAACAGGGAGTCACGACACTGGAGTAAATAATACATGACGGTATATACTGTATGTCTGGAGACTGTAAGCTCTAGCATACATAGTTATGTTATGAATTGTACATAGTGACAAGTTACAGTGAACTGACTTATCTGAATGAATGGAAATGTCATTGGCCTTTGTCGTTCCTCTGTCCCGAAGCTTTGTATTTTTGTATGAGACAGTAAAATGACACTTGGATTGTTTCCAAGCCATTGTGGCCCCCATTGAGGTCAATCTGCAGCACTGAAAACAGACTGGACCAGGAGAGGACAGTCACTGAACAGTCTCTGATGGGACCAAGTGTTGCATTACCACTCTCGTCCGTGTTACCTGAGAGCCCGCAGGTTGTGACTGTGACAGAGGCTCCTTTGACTCTGTGAGTAAAGAGGGAAAGGCTGAAACCAATGCACAAACTCTGTTCTCTGTCCTGGTGGTTTTTCTTTTTTTACTGTGCAGTTTCAGTGTAATTAAATTGTTTTTACCAACCTTTACAGTTTATTTGCTTTTCATAATATATTGATGAAAACAAAGGCAACATTAATATTTAATGCCTTTGTTGGAGAAATGCAGAGGAAAGCAAAAGAAAGAAACAAAATCAGATATTCAAAAATGCAATTAATGACTTTACAAACATTCATTAAATCATTTCTTCTCTAAACATTCAAATATTGCGAATAAATTACAAAACTGTAATGTTCTTTTGCATAGGCAAAAAATAATTTGACTTCAAGTGTATACAATAAATACACAAGACTAGATAAGGAGGCAGACCAAAAAGAAAAGCAAATTTGATCAGATGTACTGTACAGTACACAAAAACACTGATGTTCACATTGAGGTTGGTACTGTGCTCGTGACAGTTAGCCACCAGTGATGACTAGTCCTTTTGTTTGAGCTCCATTGTAGATTGGGACTTTTCAGACTTTTTTGATTTCCTGTACTTGTAGGCCAATAGGATGGTAGCCAACAGGAGGACCAAACCAATCACCAACAGGATCCACTGGCCAGCTACGGCAGCCCCGCCTTCCACATTCATACCCAGGAAGTCCACTTTGGATTTAACTTCATCTGCAGGACACACACATAAAATAAGTTAAACACTATGCTGGACTGATATCTCACTCACTCACAAACTCACTAAGTCACATGTAGCTTATCTAACAAGCTGCAGTTTTCCACAAAGCGATGATGCTATGTATATTTTCAGACCAGTTCTACACATGCCTACTTGTATGTATGTAAAATTAAATAATTAAGTAAATAAATAATAATAAAAACTATCAAAGTATGTCATAAAATATTAATAGTATAGTATATCATCAAAGATCTTGTAGTCTAAGGTGTCATACAGAATGTCATAAAAAAGTCTAGTATGACATACAAAGAAATCCTAACATAGTATGTCTGAAATATCATAGTATAATATGACATAACAATATTAGAGCATAGAATCACAAAAAAGAACACAGTATAATAAGAGTCACAGTATGATATGAAAAATATAGTATAGTATGTCATAAAAATATCATAGTGTAGTATGTCATAAAAATTTTGCAGCATTATATATCTTTAAAAAAGTCATAATACAATATGTCAGAAAAAAGTAGTAATATTGTATGTCAGAAAATATCATTGTGTAGTTTGAAAAGTTATAGTCTTGTTATATTTTAGTATGGCATAACACTAAAAATCTTGCAAAAAAAAAAAGTCATATATATATGAAATCACACAAATTTAATGAGCTTAAGTCAGCTATATATATATATATGACTTTTTTTTTTTTTAATGAGCTGATTTCATGAGCCATTCACAGTTTCACTGTGCTGGCCGTGTGTACTTAGACTTGCATGGCTTAATCTTTGAGACAAGCATATGCTACTATATATATAAACTAAACATATGTATATACATATATATATATATA